CTATCTATCTATCTATCTATCTATCTATCTATCTATCTATCTATCTAATTATGAGTTTCTTTCTGTGTTTATATCTGTAACTAAAAATTACATAAGAATTTGAGAAATGGAAGAACACAGGAGAAGCCCAAAGGAGGAGAGGCAGACAAGAAAATGATGTAAATATAATTTATGTGACTTTTTTAAAATTGAAGAGATAAAGATAAAAAGGAGGGTATAGACTTTAAAAAAGGTAGCATGCGTTACTCACTAGACAGTGTACTTTTTTCACTGTTAGGCTTGAATCTGCTGATACTTTAAAGGCCCTAAGTCTGGATTTTCTTTCCTTCTTGCCTTCTAGAACATGCAGTCTCTTTCCCATTTTCTGCACTTGCCAACTATTTTGTAGCTAGTCCTTGTTGGTCTAGGCCTTAATGCTAGAGTTCTTCAAGACTCAGTTTGCGGTCTTTATGTCATTTCTGAAATACTCAAGTGTTGGTACACACATTAAATGAAAATGAAGACTATAGAAAGATTCTTTGAGATAAGAAACTCATTTGTTTCGCTTTGAATTTCCTCTTCCTCTTTCTCTCACGATATTAGATCCCATTTAAGCTGAGGAAGCGCCAGGGTTTTATGTAATTTGTGTGGCTTACAAAATAGGATGGAAAATGTATCCAGGAAAATATGTACAACTGGAAGCCAGGCTGCCAGTAACTTCCATCAGCAGGTCAGGGGTCAAGTGGGCCAAGTGGAAGTGGTGTACAATTTTGTTTTCCAGTGGTCCAGAGAATCTAAAGTCTGTGGGTTTAGTTAGGAAAAAAAGAAAAGAAAATAAGAGGACCAGAGTTTAAAAAAAATGAATGGCTAAAATTATTCATTAATTTTATTAATTAATCCATACCTTTGTTTTGCTTCCCATACAGTGAATCTTGCCTTTAAAAAAACAAACAAATAAACAAAATACCTAACACCACAACAAATCAATTTAAAAGTGTGTGTTTTCAGGATTGACTGTGTGGTATTAGATAAATATTCTTTCCTGGGAATGACTATTTCTCCCACTCAGTATTTTTTAGCTTATTGTAATTCTTTGTTTAGGGTTGAGAGCTCATGGGCTTTCCTTATCCCCTTAGGCATGTCCATTATTATTGTCCTTATTCAGCTCAGTTTCAGCAGTAATGTTGGTGAAACTTTATGGATGTAGCTTCTCTAGTTGTTAGGAGACACAGTTTCATAAGAAATTCTAGATCTTACAATCTTTCTGCCTTCTTCCCCACAACATTCCCTGAGCTTTAGATGTAGAATTTGCTTTGTAAATAATGTTATGCAAACTGAGTAGGTTGTATTTAGGTATATACATGTTTACATGTCCATTTAACAACAATTAATGCAAAAAGAGGCCATGAATTTGAAAGGGAGCAAGAAAGGTTATATGGGAGGGTTTAGAGGGGAAAAAAAAAAACCGAGGGGCAAAAATAATGTAAATACAATATGATCTCAAAATAACAACAAATAATTAAAAACAAAAGCAAAAATTGTGTGGATAAAGTACAAATTAATTGTATAATAATACAAATAAGAAAAAAATCAGGAGAAAAAGTCGAACTACTTAGTCCTATTATTTTTATACATTAATAATACTGAAAATTAGCTAAAATGATTTGCTTTTCATGATGTCTTATCTATTCCTTTGATTAATTTATTTATTTCAATTTGTTTTATATTTATCCATTTCCTCATTCATAATATTAACAATTATGTACGTACATACATATGTTATATACATATCTGTATATATGTATTTTTGTTATAACATAATTATGCAATTTAGGGAAGTAAGCTGTGTTCCTTTAAGCAAAAATTGAATGCGCAATTCCAGGAGTATTTCCGGTGACATACTACTAGCCTTTTCCGCACTTTCCGGGAGCTGTCCTGTTCATAGGCATGCTAACAAACATGCTATGACATATTGAAGTGACCCATTAACAGAGCATTTTCTTTCAAAACCTCATCGATAACTAAATGAAACCATTACTTCCTATCCCACAAACACAAAGCCTGTTAGAATTAATAAGGTACATGTAAACTGAATACATTCGTAGGAGAAAATTGCTAGAATTCATTTTAAATTGAAATGATGGAAATTTCACTATAAAATGTTTATAAAATTTAGTTTTCCTAAATGTAAAAATAATATACCTTCTTTATCAGAAATTTAGAAGGTTAACATTAATAAAAATCCCCTGTCCTCTAATAAAAACTTTTTTTTTCTATACTTGACCATTATACAGAGCCTAACAGTAATAAAATTTTTTACTGCCACTGGAAACTTACATAGTAAAAATACTTCAACAAGCTACTTTCATTACTGAACAATTTAAATGAAAATGTATTTGCATATATAAAAATAAAAGCATTTAGTATTCATTAATTACTTCACTTTTATATATTCCACAAATTACACCAAAACATTCAAAATTATAGCATGTATCAAGTTACAGTTTACATTAATATGGCAGAGAATAGCTTACACAGTTTGGAAAGTTCTGGTTAGTAAAATAGCAATCATTTCTGCAATGTATCAGTTTCTTTAATAAATCTTATTCTTAAGATCTCATTTTGCAAATGGAAGTACAAATTTTAAATTTTAGATTATCTAAAGTCTTCCCTAGTATATTTTTCTTTAAATTTACATGGTAAGTTATTTTTTGTGATGCCAGTTATTTTCCTGGTCTGTAAATAATTTTACTTATTCAAATAATTCTTATTATTTTTGCTGAGGGATTATCAAATATAGTAGGCCATTTAAAGCAAAATAAGTTAAATTTTTGGCAGCAAGATCAATGCCTTTAGCACCATAGGAAGCAGATGTGAAGGTCAGCTGTGCCTGCCTGTAGTCCATTTGCTACTTCACATCTGCTTTAAAAACAGTGTCCTGGGCAACGTTTAGCTCACAGAAGGCTTTCCAAAGAAGCAAGCCCTCAGCAGAAACCCACCCTTCTTCTGTGTGTCTGGGAGTCACAAGCTTAAGAGTTCCTTACCATTCTGCTGACAGTCTCTCTCTTGACAGACACTCATCCAGGAGCTGGAGACAACTTCTGACCCCGTGCTGCCTTGCTAGACATGGCCAGTACAGTCTGATTTGCATATCATGCAGCCAAGATTAATAATTCAAAAGGCAGTGGTAATTTATTCAGATGAATCTCCAAGTCATTCAGAGGAACTCTTGAAGAGTGGAGACATTCAACAGATGACTCATTTTACAGAAAATGATTTAACAAAGGCATTTGAGAACACTGTAAATGAAATTGTTGTATACTCTCCCCAAATAGAAAAAAAAAAATAAAAAAAGCATTCTTTCTCTCCGTGGGTACAGGCACATTTAGATGATAAGAAATAGCAAACATATTGTGTTTAATATATAGTTGAATTCACTTTTTCTTACTTTTTCTTTGTTTTCTACACTTTTTTGGTGACTTGTATATTAAGCATACAACAACTGAACTACTTCATAGAAACCCTGAGGAAACTATAAAATGAATCCTTGGAAGACAGTCTGAACATAAACCCTGCCACAGTGTTATGCTGAAAGGCGGCTAGAATTTTAGATAATATCCATTTTATTTTTTGTGATTAAGTTCAGTAGACATAAAAAAGGGACATCAGGTGCCCAGGGATTAAGGAGAGAAGTACCATCTAAGGTGATGATCTCAAGAGAGAGCAGTAGACTTTGCCAGTCAGTGTTCTGAACAACACCCTGAAGAGCAGACCGACTATTTCAGACAGGAAACACACCTGGCCCTTTCTCAGGGCTACCTCAGTTTTATATTCAAGCAAACACCCGGGTTGCTGGGACCGAAGCATAGGGATTATACTGAGGACATAGATGATATGGTCTGAGAATAATCACAGGCAATTTCTGTTTACAGAGGAAGAAGGCTAGAGATTACTTTTGGGTATAGTTTTCAGAGAGAGAGAATGGAGTAGCCAGGAAGGCTGGTTCATTTCAGACATCTCATCCATGGACTCCTCCAAGCTAAAGGTCACAGGAGAGTATTTCATAAGTTTTGGCCACCAGTATGAGGGCACAACGTGAGTCCGTCTTTGTGGGTACCCGGAGTTGCCCAGAACTTCCTCTTTCTGAGCCCTACTTCCTGATAGCCAAAATGTGGTCTATACTTCTCTTTTTTTCTCACAGGACTGCAACCTGTTAACTGGGACTTTCTCCCAAGTGGCCCACTGCCTCAGGATCCCTCCACTAACAACAGGGCAGACATAATAAACAGACTGGGCACGGCTGAACTTCCCATACCATGAAACCTTATTCAGGGTTACAAAGCACAGCGAACAACACTCTGTTGAGCTGGGCAGTTGTCACTGTCACGCTGCTGGGCCACCTCACAGACCCAGGTCATAGGCTCTGCATTCCTGATTCAACATAGTGTGGCCACATTCCTATTCTAAATTCTTACCCATTTTATAACAAATATTTCCCTTGTACCAGATCCGAAAATTAGGTTGTCACTTCTGCCTGGAAGAGCACATATCTCTCAAGAAATGATTTCTCTTCAGAATATAATATTTCATTGGGCAAAACGTCTGGGTTTTGCTTCCTTTGTTTGCAGAAACAATGCAATTCATCGACGCTCCCCATAGATTCATTTCCAGTTTTCTTTTACTCTGTAAAGTAGGGACACTTGTCACAATACCAAGGACCATATATGTCTATATAGAAGTGTGTATATTATACTGAAGACTGGGGTTAGCTCAGCTCTGTTGACTACTACAGTATGGGGCACTTGCTTGCTAAAGATTATTACAGAACATTTCAATAAAACAAACTTTCTTCTGCATGATAACTTTGATTTAATGCTGTTGATTTCAGCACAAGAACACTGAAACATCCAGTTAAACCAGCACCATTTGTTTAAGATGCTGTCTTTTTTCCATTGAATGGTTTTAGCATATTTGTCAAAAATCAGGTGTCCATAAATGTGTGGATTTATGTTAGGGTCTTCGATTCCATTGATCCACCATTCTGTTTCTATGCCAGTACCATGCATTTTTTAGTATTGTTGCTCTATAGTACAGCTTGAGAGCAGAAATGGAGATACCTCCTGAGGATTTTTTACTGTAGAGAATTGTTTTAGCAATTCTGGGTTTCTTGTTGTTCCATATGAAGGTGAGAATTTTTCTTTCAAGGTCTGTAAAGAATTGTGTTGGTAATTTGATGGGAATTGCATTGAATCTGTAGATTGCCTTTGGTAAGATGAGCATTTTTACTATGTTAATCCTGCCAAGCCATGAGCATGGGAGATCTTTCCATCTTCTCATATCTTCTTCTAATTCTTTCTTCAGAGACTTGAAATTTTTTTTCATACAAGTCTTTGACTTGCTTGGTTAGGGTTACACCAAGGTACTTTATGTCATTTGTGGCTATTGTGAAGGTTGTTGTTTCCTTAATTTCTTTCTCAGCCCATTTGTCTTTTATATACAGGAGGGCTACTGATTTTTTTGAGTTAATTTTGTATCCAGCCACTTTGCTGAAGGTGTTAGTCAGCTGTAGGAGTTCTCTGGTAGAATATTTACAGTCACTCAGGTATACCATCATATCATCTGCAAATAGTGATAATTTGACTTCTTCCTTTCCAATTTTTATCCTCTTGATCTCCATCAATTGTCTTATTGTTCTAGCAAGGACTTTAAGAACAATGTTAAAGCAATATGGAGAGAGTGGACAGCCTTGCCTTGTTCCTGATTTCAGTGAGAATGATTTAAATTTCTTTCCTTTGAGTTTGATATTGGCTATAGGCTTGCTGTATATTGCCTTTACTATGTTCAGGTATGTGCCTTGTATCCGTGATCTCTCCAAAACTTTAAACATGAATGGATGTTGGATTTTGGCAAATGTTTTTTCAGCATCTAAGGAGATGATCATGTGGTTTTTCTCCTTCAGTTTGTTTATGTGGTGGATCACATTGATGGATTTCCGTATATTGAACCACTCCTGCATGCCTGGGATGAAGCCTGCTTGGTCATATTGGATGATATCTTTGATGTGTTCATGGATTCAGATGTCTACATTTAGAAAAATGGAAAAAGATCCATAGTTATCTCCCTGCACAAAACTAAAGTCCAAGTGGATCAAAGACCTCAACATAAAACCAGACACACTAAACCGCTTAGAAGAAAAAGTGGGGAAGAGCCTTGAACTCATTGGCACAGGAGACAACTTCTTCAACAGAACACAAACAGTGCAGGCTTTAAGACCAACAATCAATAAATGGGACCTCATGAAACTGAAAAGCTTCTGTAAAGCAAAGGACACTGTCGTCAGAACAAAATGACAGCCTACCGATTGGGAACGGATCTTCACCAACCATGTATCTGACAGAGGACTAATATCCAGTATATATAAAGAAATAAAGAAGTTAAACAGCAAAAAATTAAGTAATCCAATTAAAAATGGAATACAGAGCTAAACAGAGAATTCTAGTAGAGGAATATTGAATGGCAGAGAAACACGTAAAGAAATGCTCAACCTCATTAACCATCAGGGAAACGCAAATCAAGATGACCTTAAGATTTCATCTTACACCCATTAGAATGGCTAAGATCAAAAACTCAAGACACAACACATGCTGGAGAGGTTGTGGAGAAAGGAGAACCCTCCTCCACTGCTGGTGGGAATGTAAGCTTGTACAATCACTCTGGAAAGCAATCTGGCACTTTCTCCGACAACTAGGACTAGCACTTCCTCAAGATCCAGCTATACCACTCCTAGGCATATACTCAAAATTTGCTCAAGTATACAATAAGAACATTTGCTCAACCCTGTTTGTAGCAGCCTTATTTTTAATAGGCAGAAGCTGGAAACAGCCCAGATACCCCTCAGTGGAGGAATGGATGCACAAATTGTGGTATAACTACACAATGGAATATTACTCAGCAATGAAAAACAGGAAAATCATGAAATTTGCAGGTAAATGGTGGGATCTGGAAAAGATCATCCTGCATGAGCTATCCCAGAAGCAGAAAGATGCACATGGTATATACTCACCCAGATAGACATATAATATAGGATAAACCTACTAAAATCTGTACACCTAAAGAAACTAACCAAGAGGGAGGACTCTTGCTAAAATGCTCAATTCCTATCCAGAAAGGCAAAAAGGCTGGACATCAGAAGAAGGAGAAAAGAGGGGACAAGTCAGGAGCCTGACATAGAGGACCTCTGAACAGCTCTGCCCTGCAGACTATCAATGCACATGCTGAGATTTATGGGCCACCTTTGGGCAGAGTGCAGGGAATCTTAGGAAACAAGTGGGACACAGTAAGATCTGGAGAGAACAGGAACTCCACAAGGAGAGCAACAGAACCAAAAAATCTGAGCAGAGGGGTCTTTCCTGAGACTGATACTCCAACCAAGGACTATGCATGGAGATAACCTAAGACCCCTACACAGATGTAGCCCATGGCAGCTCAGTATCCAAGTGGGTTCCATTGTAATAGGAACAGGGAGTGTCTCTCACATGAACTGATTGGTCTGCTCTTTAATCACCTTCCCCTGCTGGGGGAGCAGCCTTACCAGGCCACAGAAGACAATGCAGCCACTCCTAAGGAGACCTAATTGACTAGGATCAGAAGGAAGGAAAAGAAGTCCTCCCCTATCAGTGGACTTGGGAAGGGGCATGCATGCAGAGGGTGGAGGAAGGGAGGGATTGGGACAGGAGAAGGGAGGAAACCACAGGGGGGATACAAAGTGAATAAAGTGTAATTAATAAAGAATTAAAAAAAATCACTGTAAAATGGTAGCAATAAAACGACATTTGGTCCTCCTCCCCTTTCTTAACAGTTGACTGGGGGAGGGGTATAGGTGGGAAACAGGAAGGGTGGGGAGCCTTGGGAAGGGAGGAGGGAGGGAGCTACAGGGGGATACAGAGTGAATTAACTGTAATTAGTAAAAATAAAAATAAATTTAAAAAAAAAGAACACTAAAACAACCTCCCAAAACCCAGCAAGGTAGAAAGATCACTGAATTTTTGTACTAAATTTGCATTTTACTAGCTGTGTGATCTGTGAAACATACTTGCCTGAGTCGATTTCC